GGAGCGGATCCGGTGCTTGACCCTCTAACGTAGGCCTAGTTAAGCAGCATCTCTTTGCCTCCGCATCATGTCCGTTTATAATTTACCCCGTTTTTGTAATACGACCATCCAAAATGTTCTTCTACAGCGGTTGGACAACAACGGTCTTCCTTCGTTCACCGATAATGTCAACATATCTGTTCTCCATGATTGTCAGCACAATGCCCTATCAGGAAACTTACACGGAAAAAGGAGTTCGAGTGAGTCACACATTTGATTTTCGGGCACAGTTCGTCGTACAGGGGGGGGGGGACATTTTGCGCTTCCGCTACTTTCCATCGTCATGTTCGCTTTACATGAACTTGACAAGTAATCCTTTACAAACGTTCGCCTGGTAGCACTCCACTTCACAAAATCAAAACATCAAATGCTTCACCGAATTTCACAGATCACTTCTTGATGGCTCGACATGACGATGGGAAGTAGCGGAAATACATAATGCCCTCAGCCCCCACCCCACCCCAAGCTGAACTGCGCCTGTTTTCGCTACTTACAGATTTTCCCAGATCGTTTTTGATTTTGTATTTAAAAGTCACATTCGAAAAGAAGTCAAGGTCCACGTTGCGGTGAAGCGGCATAAGCCGCGTTGCAAATAGAGTGATTGACGCTTTATGCGCTTAGAGATCTAATTGATTTGATTTGGAGGGGCTGTATTATGTCTCGAGCTGAATAGGAAGTACTGGCTGATATGTGCGCGTGGCCGCCACGTGAACCTCCTTCCGAGTTGTATATCCAATGGCGCAGTTCTCAACAGCGATACTTTTACTATGGCTCATTGGCCACAATTGCCGCTTCCGGTCTGGATCTGGACGAGATGTCTGGCCTAAGCCGAACATCTCGTCCAGATCGCCTACCACCTTGATGATCGCAATTGATCGACCTATATTGGTAGGATGCGAGCACAGCTGGTGAAGAGCACACTTGCTGCAGGTTGGGCTAAGTATTTGCGTGTGCTTCTTAGCAACTTTATACCTTCTTCACCTCCCCCTCACCCACATCTCTCTCAAAACATGGATGAGGTATCAAGGTGATGACATTTGTTGCATTCGTCCCAATAGCAGTACGACATCCGACCGCTATGGCATTCTTCCTCTTCCCCCTCCCAACCGATACCTCATTTGACAGAATCGCAGTAGCGTAGTGGGCCTGCGCCGTCCAAGATTACGGGTATCTAGCTAATAACTGAAAAAAGGAAACCTCCTCTACCTTTGAACCGCAGCGATCGTGCGGCGAATTTTCGACAAGTACTGGCATGAACCCTCCATTTTCAGGTTCGTATCGTGGATGCCGAAGAATGGGAAACTCAACGTGAACAGAGTCTGGCGGTTGGACCTTTGTTCCGATGATTCGTTGTCGCATTTCTTGAGGATTACTTTCCAGGCTACCGTACCATTATGAAGGTAGGTTAGTGAGCTCTTATTACTTTACTTACCGCCATTGTCGCGATCACGGCTCATCATTGATGTGCCTTTACAAAACAGACTCGATGAAGACTGCTGGCAAAAACCTGCCGTCAATATGTACGGCTGCTTGTGGGCGAATTCCTCACAGATATGAATGGAATTCCCGTGTTCAAGGCTGACTTAGAAAACTGCACGCAGTTCGGTGGCACGCAGGGGGCATTTCAAACTTCAGCTGCTTAGACTTCATTACTTCCGGTTTACAAGTCACACTCTGGCAAAACTTGTGAACTCTTGCAAATCAGGAAGAAGCTCGTCTAGCTAATATGGTAAAACGTGTGAACCAGCGAGAAAGTTGGGGGCTCCGTAGATGGGTCGAGGGCCCATTGATGGTAAACAAAATGCTGCCCTCGCTCGCCCCCACAACTACCACCGCAAATATGCCGTGCTAATAGCAGGAGATGCGAGAAAAAGCATTTAATCTTTGATTCATTACTGACTACAGAAAGGCGAATCACTAGTGAGATCATCTCAAATTAATTAGTGAAAATGATGGCGTGACAGAATCCGGTCGGACATTACGGTAAGACATGTGCGGCGAATAAACGGCAAAGTCGTTCCATCCATGCCGTGTGTTGTGCTTGTTCTCGGCCGCGAGTGTTTGTTAGAATGGCTACCTGAAGTTCAACCATTTATTTACCAGTTTGGCTGGCGCAAAGTACCCAGGGCACGCCATCGCGTTGTGATAAATTCCTGAAAAATACGGCCTCCCCTGATTCTGTCCTCTGATACGACCCTCCCCCATCCTACCTGCTACTTTCCTAGATTTTCCCTAATTCCTACCACTTTTTCCAGCTTCTCAGATTTTCCGACATTTCCCAAAAATTTCTAGTTTTTCACCAAAATTTTGCTGTCGAGCGGGAGGGGGGATATATAACGTCAGCGAAACGGGAAAAACTGCAGAAAGTCAACGATCGGGAAAAGTTTTTTCCAACACCGCAAATTCCTCTCAAAGACAAATGCCACCCCCTCCCCTTTATAGCGTCCGTGAAGCAAGAGAAAACAACGATCAAAAAGATTTTTCGGTAGACCTCACCATACCATACAGTCACCTCCGACCCGGATACAGTATCGTAATGAATGAAATGGCGGTGTCAGTGTCACCCTAACCGTTTCCCCGAGTTTCCACTTGGTACTACCTTCCCCCCCCCTCCATCCCATCTACCACCATACTAAACTTCCTCAACTTCCTCTCACTCTGATTGCACTACCCATTGGACTTCTAAGCAATACCAGTACACAGCGGGGACCAGCATCTCTCATCTCGGTTATCGTCGGCTCTGATCTCTAGGAAGATGCAGGAACTGCGGTTACCTGGGAGGCTTCGGGAGGACCTATTTCCTACTTGTTTAGTTATTGAAGCAGCAAAAGTTTTGGTGACTATGGGCTCCGGTACTTATTTATTACAAGAAGTGAAAGACTCACCTGTGTGTCTCCTCGAGAATAATCCTATGGCCTCTGATCCGGCCAATGAACCTATGTGGTATAGTGAGCCATCATCACCTGGAATACGGTATCCTAAGGTAATTTAGTTTTTTTTTCAGGAGAAATAATTCTGGAAAAAATGAGACTGTAGCTTTATAGCGCAGTAGTGGACCCTATGAAACCTTGTCCTTGCCACTAGATAACCCTGCCCTATGGGCGTACCGGTTGACGTGAAATATGCGGTGCTTTCAAAAAATTCCCTCAACTTTCCGGCACTGGGCCTCTATCTGAGTTCCGTGTGCAGCGAAAAATATCGAAATTTTTGCAGCAACTTCTCTTTCTCTCTTCTCGAACTTTCTTACTCTCACTGCGGAATATCACATTCACCTATATCAACAGTCAGCGAGAATTTGTGGGAGGGGACGTGAACTCGGAGCGGAGCCAGGATCTCCTTTTCGTGTAGAGGAGTGCAGTCCTGAACAGGCAACCAATCGGAAAAGCGCCCTGGCTGCTGCCGATCTACCACTCCCTACGATCTGCCCACTCGTTACAAGAATGACTGCATTTTCGCTGTAGAGAGGTCTTCCGAAATGTGGTAGTTTATGAGTTCCAAATAGGTTGTGAGGCGAAGACGATTTGCATACAAACTCATTTAGACCTATTAGGACTCTTTAAGATGTGGAATTTTCTAGACAAGTAAGCAAACCTAGTTGCACTCCACCACGTCCATAGCTTTGCTTCGCGGCGCTGGGCTGCACCAAAATCCAATACCACTTGCGTTTGTGCGATTCCAATAAGGCGAACAATCGAGCGACCTGTACAACTGGGCTGTTTTAATGACAATTGCTATCAGTTTCCGTTTTTTTCAAAGCTTCTCTTGAGGCTTATTGATTCTTTGAACTAACAGAGATGCTTTCGTTTTGGGAGGGACATTTTGCACTTTCACTTGTTCCTTTTCTTAGTTCGTGTTATTGGTATGAAATGGTCGTCTTATAGCAGCTCCAACAATCCACTGGCCAGCGACCACGGCCACGCCACACAGATGAGGTGCATTACGAATCAATTTTGTAACATATAACGGTGTCACTGAGTCAGTAGGCGTGTCAGGTTGCATGACTTTTGGCGCCAACTCGCTGGTATGGCCTGGTACAATAATGCTGTGTTTCCGTTGTGCAGAAATCCACGTTGCGGCGACGTACACAATACAGTTAGTATAGCTAGCATATACTTGCTAGTTGTCTCGCTACGTTGTAGAACTTGTGCTAAACCAGTGACAATCTTGTTCTCTGTGAATGCTGGAGCATGTTACCGGGAGGAAGGTGAGTATGGCGAGGCGTCAGCTCGTTTCCCACCAGTTGCTGTTGTTTCTGTCCTTTTAAACAAGTTGGTAAGTATGGCTGTTACGCGCCATAATCCCAGCCCTCCTCTCTAATACGGCCCACAGTGAATCACAGCGAACAACACTATACGTCTTATGCTGTTGCCACTACCCTACAAGTAACGCAGTAACTGAACGTGTTAGTGACAATTGCGCCCCCCCCCCAACATATACGAAATAGCGTTTCTCTCCTCTACGACCCTTTGAAACGAAAAATGGAAAAATGTCACCTCCTCTGCGCGCATGACCCAACCGGCTGCCGCATCGAGCTTAGTCGGGCTCCAGTATGTGTACGGATTGGCGTTGTCCGGTGAATAGTAGGATACCTTCAAAATCACCAGATTTAGCTCTAAAACTTTTTTCCAAACTTTTTTCCAACTTCTTTGGAGTGGGTTTTCCAAACGCATTTGGAAAAAATGGTTGTGATTTCAAACTTGGGAGTAAACTTGAGATGACTTCTTCCGAGAATGAAAACTCACTTCTGAAACTCCCGGATCTACGTCGCCAATTTGTGCTTCGATCTTATTTGGCTTCAAAATTACGTCTTGGATGAAAGTCACTATAACTTCGATAAAGTGACCTAAACTTTTCCGTGGTGTAGATAATTTCCAGGAAACCGGAAAAAGGAAACCGGAGAAAAAGGAAGAGAAAATACTGTTCTCTCTTTCTTTCTCCGGTCTCTCGCTGCGCTACAGTGTCTCGTTCTCTTGAAAGCTCGTCTTCTCTGAGAACCCTATTTTCTGGGCGTCTTTCGACGTAACCTGTGTCTAGTATATCTTTCCCAAGAAGACGTAAGCAATATTGGAATACAAGTATCGTGTACCAGGCTGAAACCTCGGCTCGTAAGATCGAATGTAGAAATCCAGTAGTGCCGTGCCATTCAGTCGTTCACTTAAAAATGTAGTCAGTAATAAAATAAAGTCAATAAATAAAGGCAAAGAGTCTCTGTGGCATCTGGCATCCTGTCCATCTGTACGAGTTCCAAAAAACGTGACAAGGGTAAATGTACTATCCTACTACATACAGGTCCCAAGCTTCTCTCTTCATAAAACCTCGGCACTATTGTAAACTTTGCAGCTCCTGATTTATTGTGCCAAAAAGTTGTTAGGTGGAGCCCTTTACTGAATTTCCTAATGTTCCTAATTTCGACAAGATTTTCGTCGTTGGAGGCCTAAACCTTGCTCAAGGTTCAAATGTTGCCCTCTACGCTGTGCCAGAAGGCTCGAGTCCTTAGCGACGGAATATCAGGAGAGCTACGGAAAGAACCCCGATGGAAAAGCCAACCCACCATCGCAAGAGGCAACGCCGTCACTCGCTGTTGGTTAAGTGACCCCGTTCGCAGTAGCCCTGATCGTATCCCAGTAGGAAGTACGGCCTTTTCTTGAAATTCGAACGACATGCTTTAGACACCATTAAAGCGAAAGCCCTTCCAGCTACCCTGTTGCGCGGATTTGCCATGCCGCACACACCTGTTCTCCTGAAAGGTAGGGCATCACGCAGGAATCCCCAGCGGCGGACACAGCAGGGAGAGGGATTTGCACTTTGGGAAAATTTTCCTCAGCGACAGGACGAGCCGTGGGCTAGTAAACAGGTCTTTTGAATTTGTACCATAAGAAATGAAAAAAATGTTGCTAAGGAGGGTTTTCTTAATCGTAGAACTACTTAAGACCTATGGAACATATGGAGTGCCGATGGAAATCTCTGAAAAAACCAAAAGAATAGTGGTTTCTAATAAAGAGCTCACGTTTGTGGTGTTTTATTGAATTCGAGTTTTTCTTGGTTGCACCAACCACCTGAGGAGTGCTCGAGAAGATGGCGAACGGTAACTGCACGTAACCAAGGATGTGCACGACTGACGTCAAGCCATGAGAGAATACCTTGAACAACGAATGATTTGGAAAGTGCTGCATCACTTGAGGACAGAAAAAAGCTAGTATTAAGCACTGCAAGGAACAAAGTGAACTCTAACTCTACCTCTCATCACATGAAAACGTGTGGCAGCGTCGGTGGGGTGCGAAGACGGCGTTAGCGGGGGGTCACTACCCTATAGCGCCGCTCCCTTGCACTTTTAACCGGAAAGTGGCAAAGTATTGCACTGCGGACTCATTCACCCCAGACACGGCAGGGACCGGAATCCACGGAGGTGAGTGTGCAGCTTGTCTCTGAGTAGCTAATGACATTGGTGTAACGTAGGTATTTTGAACCGGACCCCCCCTCCAACAAATAACAGCGGGCCCGAACAACCGGTACCTACACCCTAATGATTTTCCCTTAGTGGGGTTTCACAGAAAAGGAGACGATGAGCAAGCTTTGAGACTTCTCGACTCTTACTCGCCCCTGAGCCGATTTGGCAGTGGAATATGTCCCGGCGGTGACCCTTCCGACATCTTACGGTTGAGATCCACAGCCATACAGTGTTCTTCGCTGCAGATGATGCGGCATGTCAGGGGAGGGGGTTTGGCGCGCCGCGAGCCCGTCCTTCAATAGTCGGTGTAGCGAGTAAGCGACAGCAATTGGTAGAAAACGACGGAAATAAACGATATGATTTATTTTTGTCGTCTGCTGGAAGAAAAAAGTAAAGGAGCGGGCTGGCACTGCGCCATACTTCCCTCATCACCCGTACATCCCGCTGACATTCCCCACCGTTCGCAGCGAGCAAGGCTGTAGTTCACGGCGAGCGAACTCTTCAATTATCTGAATTCTATTGTCTGGGATGTAATGTGGCAGATCCAATGAAAAAAGCCCCCAA